ACAACAATGAGATTCTTCCTCAAACACCAACAATAGTGGAACCAATGAAATATGTGGTCAATGTTAATTTTTTAACTTTATATCAAATTAAAATTTGATTTTAATCAATATCAAACATGGACTTAATGTATTGGTTGTAATTTCCACAATTTTTCTAATGGTCACGAGTAAATGGTTTGTTTCCCTTAAGACCATTAAATTCTTCAATCATGCTACATGTACACTTCATTTGACATCAAGTTTGACATTGTGTCACGTGTTGTGGCGTGAATGGACAGTTTTAAAATAAAATATATTTTCCCGTCCATTTACATTTGAAAATATATAGAATATCAAACTCCATGTCAACCAATTAATGTACAAGAAGCTTTATTCTAAATTCTCAGCCTAGCCCAATAGCCCTTGGTTATAGCATGTTTAGCTAAACCTAGAAAGTTCGTAAAAAGTAAATTCTAAAATAAATATCCTTTTTTATAATAAAAAGTTTGAAATAATATGTTAAATATTTTGATAGTAACGAAGGTTAATTTTTACTTTAAAATAAAAACTAAGTTATTTGAACGAGGAATCAACAAATTTTTTCCCCCCCGTAGTTACAATACATCGCCTAACATTCTATATTTTCTAGTCAAGTGACTTCACTAAATTATTTTCACTGAAATGGCCTATTCAGATAGTTCTGAGTATGCGTACGGCAAGTAAAATAAAAAGTTACTTACACATTCAAAATTTTAAGAATTTTCATTAAAGAAAAGAGGGAACAAGTACTAATCAATCACATGATCATTAATTAACCATTTTAAAGCCGTTTTAACTACTAAGTAGTGGATCTTTTAATGACATTAAATGATGTACCGCGTTTTGCCTATGATGCTATGGAAGTAGAATATCCCTAATAAAGTGAAACTATAATTAGCTTTGGTGTCACTTTTTTTCCTAATTATTTGGTTGTACTATCATTTATTTATCCTTATTTGATTTGAACAAAAATTAATTTTTTGGTAAATTTTGATAAAAATTAACAAAATAGTTTAAAAGTCGATAAAAATTGTGGATCCCATAAAATATATATAACAAATGAATTTGAGGAAANTGTGGATCCCATAAAATATATATAACAAATGAATTTGAGGAAAAATTAATGGGGTTAAATTATTTATCAAGTATGTAAGTATTAAAAGTTTTGAGAAGATTTGTTGCCCCTTTTTGGTCCCATTTTTATAGAATTCATTTTCAATTACACGTTCAATGAGATTCGCGATTTTTAATTAATTTTTCAATCATACATTTAATTAACTTTTATCAAAAAAAAATTTTTTAAATAACATTCTAGAAAAATATTGAATTTTCATGCGTGATACTTGAGAATTACCCTAGATTTCTATGTAACGAGGAAATCATACTCGGAGTTTATTTTAAATATGCACACTCAATTCAACCATCCAAAAATAAGTACATAATTTAATTTGCTTGAACGAAAGAATAAAGAAAAATTAAATATCATGTCAACCTATTTAATTATTGATCAATCGCGAAGAAGAAAAGCTTAAAATGAAGAAATTTCAAAATAAAACACAACAAACATTTATGAATAATCATAATTAAATTTTATTTTCAATGAACTATAAATAGCTACATGGTTTTTGAATGATATACTAACATTACTCATAGTTTTTTTCCAAAATATAAATCATGTGTAACCTGGCTGGCAGGCCCCTGTAATGCAAGCAGAGTTCAAACAGCTACTACACTTCATTATTGATTACTAATCCAATTCCGATATTGTAGCCCATGTGATCCATTTTATTTAGAGGGTGTTTGGTAGAGATTAAAATCGGATTAAAATTGAAAAACTAGCCATTATTGTTGACTTTTATTAGATGAGTGGGACCCAATAACAATTATATTTTCAATTTTAATTGGATTTTGAGCCGTATCAAACAGGTCCTTAGTTAAAAAGATAATAAAATTGAAGTTAAAGTTAACAATTAATTTTAACTATAAATTTAGGAACATACACAGTTTTTCAATCATATATTTTATCAGATTTTATCAAAATTTACTAAAAATTTAATACACTAAAATGAACATAGTAATTTTCACTACTAGTCGAGGTTGTAGATAAGAGGAAGGTACCCACTTATTGTAGGCCTTCTTTTCGGGATTAACTCCTTTATGGTTATGGGTTAGTGATGTCAATTCCACTTACACGGTCGGTTTATATTCATCTTAATTAACTCGATTCACATTTATTACATAAAATATTTCGAGATGGTTTATTTGAACATGAGCTTCATTCTTCAAAAATAGTTCTTCACTCAAATCGAAAAAAAAAAATCTATTTTTTTTAACCATACATTATTCAAAAAATTGTATTTTATAAAATTTATTCTAGAAAAATGTGACTAAGGAGCATAATATATGGATTTAAAAATTCTAAAATGCATGTGAAAACCTAAAAAATTATTGACTTAACACTTGATTTATGATTAATCACCCCATTTAGACAATAATTTTCACTCTCACACGTAAAGAAAAAGGTCAAAAAAGCACATAATGGTACTAAAAGAGAAAAATAATTAAGGTTTACACGGTCTACTTTATCACAAAGCAAGGAAGCACAACCCTTAGATTAAACACCAAGGGCTCATCATCATCGTCCAATCTCGGGGGAAATTCGTTTCACCAACCCATTAACCGGGATCATAAGATGAGATCGCACCCGACCCGTTATGACCCGAGAGACCTAAACAAGAAAATTACCGAGGTTACACAGTGTACTCTATCACAAAGCAAGGAAGCACCGCCCTCGGATTAAATACCAACAGCTCATCCTCGTCGTCCAATCTTGGGGAAAACCCAGTTCCTCGACCCACCAAGGAATCGAATCCTGGATCGTCCTTATCAAACAAGACGGGATCGGACCCAACCCGACCCGCTATGACTCGACAGACCAACATGGCGCGTTTCATGTGCATGAACTCGAACTCTTGTTCCATCTCCTCCGGGACTGCCACGTGAGCCCTCCAACTCGTAAGTACCGTGGAAATTCCGTCCAACTTGGGTGAGAATCCACTCTGTATAATCCCGCAAACGCCGCAGTACAACTGATTGCATAAAGTGGAATTACCATTTTGCCCAAGGTCGCACGTGTAAGTCCCACAGTAGAATCTCAGCAGTTCATTGCCATCAGCTATACACCTCTCATCCCTGCTCTTTACGGCTCCATTTTTGGCCGCCTTCGACTTCACGGACTCTCTGTACTCCTCGAACCTGGCTAGTATTTTGGGACTGTTATGAATCTTAAGGATCCGAAGGATAATGGGTTCCTTCGCCTTATCAGGCCAACCCGTTTTGAATATGATTCGAACAATGTTCTTGCCCGTATCACCATCGATGAGCTCCGATACTGCATGTTTTGTTGACTGGTGCTGTTCGAGAATACTTGATTTTTGGAAGATTTCACCGCAAATGGGACATGGGTAGATGTTGTTTCGCAGAGGGAAGAAGTGTTGATCGGAGGAGATATCGGATTCGGGTCGGTCCGAAATGAGTGGAGAGTCTGACACTCGAGTTTCTGGGGGTGTATAGGGTACGATAATGGGTTGATTTAATCGTAAGGAACGTGTGGAGGAGGATGGGGATGGGATTGAAGGAGCTTTATGCACGTAGATTGGGGAGGAAATGGTGTTAGAGGAGGAGGAGAAGATGCGTTTGATGAAAGACCAGGAAGAGGACAAAGCTTTTGGTGGTTTGAATCTACGGTGGCTGAGCTGGTGGTGATCAGGAGAGAGCTTCCTTTTCCGGCTGTTTTGGTGGTGGTGGGAGGAGGAGGAGGAGATGAAGCAGCCTAGGTGGAGGAAGAGGAGGATAAAAATGGAGAAGAAATTGGAGAAAAATGGGCGGAATTGGAAGTTAGCCATTGTGGATATGGTGTATCATGGCAATGACATGAATGTAATGCTGGAAAGAAGGGTTTGTGAATGAATGAATGATGAGAGTAAGGAGAAGAAATGTTAAAAAGGCAAAAAGGGTGGGGACGTGGAAGAATAAAGCTAATGGTGGGTGGAAAGCAGCTCTATGGCATCTCTTCTATGAGTCTATCTCTGCGTGCCTGCCTGTATTTATGTTTTGTGTTTCATGGAGGTAAATTTTATTCACGGTAATTATATTTTCAATTTTATTCAACCGAATAACTATATTTTAATTGAATTTTAATCGAACAAATTTTGTCTAATTTCGATCGTCTCAAATTTCATTGAAGTAGTAATGATCCATATCAGCAACTAAGGGTTACATGTGATTACTATCATTTATAAATTGAACGAAATTACTTTAATTGAAATCAAATTAAAGTGTGATTACCTGATTGAAATAATATTATTATGTAGTTATTCAATTTAAAAAATCTTACTACAATTAATTATTGACATTAAAATGAAAGTATAATTAATGCGAACGGAATTTTATTTGATAAAAACTACATAAATATGTCAATAGTGGAGTTACGTAATGACTTACATAAAGATGATGTATCAAAAATAAAGAGTGAAAAATCTTTTTTTTTTTTTGCTTTTTTTGATTGAAATTTTTTTGATCCAATCATACGTGACTACATCATATTTATGTAAACCATTATATAAGTGTAGCATAACCGTAATTTTTTTTTAACCAATTGTTACAACTAATGTAAAGAGTTTAATGATTGATAAATTTCCATCCCCACTTAAAATAAAATAAAATAAAATATAAGGGTTAATTTCACAAATGGTCACTAAAGTTGCTTGAAAATCACAAAACGGTCATTGAAATTTAAAACTTGCATAAACGGTTACTGAAGTTTAAATTTCTTTCATAAACGGTCACTAAATTTTCAGATTTTTTGGACAAGTTTTGCAGCGATTTTCCGGCAACTTCCGACCACCAAGACCATCGAATTTGGATACCGTTGGAAAGCCCACAATATCCTCTTCAATTACCACCAAAAATATCCTCATAAATCAAAGGGATTCGGCCGAAATATACCCAAATTATGGGGATATTTTTTGTGGTAATTGAAGAGAACATTGTGGGCTTTCCGACGATCTTTGTGGTCGGAAGTTGCCGGAAAATCGCCGCAAAACTTGTCCAAAAAATCTGAAAATTCAGCGACCATTTGTGAAAGAAATTTAAACTTCAATGACCGTTTCTGCAAATTTTAAACTTTAGTGACCATTTTGTAATTTTCAGGTAATTTCAGTGACCGTTTGTCAAATTAACCCTAAAATATAAACATGTATATTATATTTGAAATTAAATTTTATCAACAAACCGGTTTTACTAGAAATTGACCATGAGTTACCAATTTTTCGGATTTCTCTCTCTTTTTCTAACAAAAAGTAAGAAAAATATTGCAAGTATATCTTAAATAGCAGCGTCTAAAACTATAGAACGTTCAATGAGATGTTTAAACATATTATTGAAGCGAATAACGATCGTCAATTCAAATCTATTATCTATTCATTAAAAGTTGTACACGTATAAAATATGAGTAATGATAATTGAATAAGTTTAAAGACCTGAAAAAAAACAGACTGACTTGACAACACCTGTTTATGTATTTTTTTATTTTTTTTTTCAAACTGTCTAATCATGTATCTACACGTATCTCCCCTGTTTTTTAACCTATTTCTCTTGTATGCAAGTGACTATATCGAGGACAGTGTGGCCTCTCCTTTCACTAATCAACTGATAGGAATCTATACCCAAAAACAAAAAAGTTAACTACTTGTCAAAAGGACGGTATTGATTCCATTTCCTCGTGGTACTTTTTAATGTATTAAAAATATAGTAATTTTATTTTTATGAGTATGGTTATTAAAATTTTTCATAGTCCGTGACACTTGAACCACCATCAATTAAGGGCTCACATTTTTGGTTATTTCTTCTTGTCCTTTATCATTATAAAGGCACAACTATTAAAGTATACATTTTGTTGATTGGTATAGTTATCCTATTTAAAATAAGTTTTTTTCTTACTTATATGTAAAAAAAAAAAATGCTTATTTTGACGGTGAACTTAAATAAGTTACTCTTTTTACTTATATAAGTCGTTAAAAGTAAACTTTAAATATAATTAACTTATTTATTTTGAACTAGAAGACAATTTTTTTAATTTAAAACTTACCAATATACTTGTAAATAAATGTTTTATGCTTGGCCTAACTTACCAAACTTACCAATTTTGGGAGTTCGCCTCGGGCCCCGAAAATCACAGAACCGGCCCTGACCTGCACTACAGTTAATTATTTTTGTACATTCTTCAAGAGATTGGAAAGATAACACATGCTCATGTTTAATTGTCCTTTTGCAATACAAAGAGGTTTCTCAAGAATCTCAAGAATATTGGCTACTACTATATTGTCGCTATCTTATATAAATTAAATACCCCCTTATATAAATTATTAGCTTGGGGAGTTGGGGTTTTTAATTGTCTAATTTTAATTTTTTTCATATGAAAAATGTGAAGTTACATATTTACCTTTTATAAATTGGTCAACAATTGGTCAGATATTTAATTATTGGTCAACTAACGGTTTCTGTCAATTTAGATTTCGGGTGCGAATTGTTTAAATATTTGGTACCATGACTAGTACAAATGAAAGGTTTGGGCTAAGTCTACAAAAAAAATGAAAGGTTTGGTACCGTGACTACAATTTTTCCCTTTATAAACGATTAACATGGCTTCAAAAGAAACTTTAATAGAAAAATATTATAGGAGGTTACCGAATTTATATTTTTATCTTATGTTGCTCACTCCATTTATCTCAGTTTAATTACTTAACTTACACTTCATTAGACAATTCCATCAGTAACCGTGATTAGGGGCGGCTTAAATGGACCGGAATCAATTGAACCAAACCAGAAACAAAAATAATAATAATTTGTACCAACAGTTTTATTGGATTCATTTTTTGATTGTATAGTGTAATGTGTCTGTTGTTAAATTTGTACTCGTATGGAGACATGCACATATCGTCCTATTTGAATGGCACATTGCACTACTACTACACCACACATACGTGTACAGATCTCCTACCATATTTTACCCACATCTGATGTGGCAATGTTGAATTATCAAAGATTGTAGGTTTAATCACAAATGTGGTGTTGCCACATCAGTTGTGGACATGTTTTATTCTCATTTCTACATACATGTATATTTAGCTTTTATTTGGTTCAACTACAAAAGTTGATTAATATTTAATTTTAATTACACATTTAAAAGGTCCACAACTTTTTAACTGTGCATTCTATAAATATTTATCAAAATATGTTGAAAACCTAATATTAATACAGATCTCCAGATACAAAAACACAAATCTAAGAGAATATGCCAAAGATCTCTATTAATCTAAACCAACAGGCATCAAGATTTCTTCAATCTTAGGCTCAATCAATTGACTTGTCTGTATCATCAAAGAGTAATCGAACAAACCCAAAACTCTCACCAAACCAGACGCGAGTAAAGTTACTTCAATTGCCAGAAGAACCCACACCACACCAATCTACCTACTCTCAAAGAAGTCACACAGACTCGTTTTTTACCAAGAAAGAAGTAGAAGATGATCGAAAAAGAGAATGAAGAGGAAGGGTTCAACAAAATCTTCTAGACCAAGATGCGCACCACAAAAGAATAACCTAATCCCCGTAAGGCAACAGGAAATATAGTATTTATACTCACAGCACCAACCATTGATCTGAAATGAATCCAACTGACTAGAGCAACGGACACTCTCTCCATTCAAAACAACACTAAAAGCGTGCTTTGAATATGCGAGTTATCCGACTAGTTTGGGCTTGGGTTGTGGGCCATCTCAATCAGGTTATTGGGAAATTGTTAATATGTCTGGACCGAAAGACCATTCATCATTGCCTAATGTTGGACTGGACCTGGCATCACAGCCAAACACCTAATTTATTATCTAAACCAAACCAAGGGCATAAATAACTGCAACAATATTGAATTTGATATCGGGTTTGGCTAATGTATGTAAACTATTTGTCATCGATAAAATCACTTTTTTAATATTTTGTAGGACTCATAGTTACTATTCATTTATACGTATTTACTTTTATTTATTTATAATTTAAATCGGTTATAAACATCTCTCAATAATGTTGCACTGTGGTGTAGTGATTAAAAATTAAAGAGAAGAAGAACGTGTGTTGTGTAATATTCTAATGTACAAGGGGAGTTACTTCCATGCATTTATGTTTACTCCTTCAAAAATAGATAGGTTATATTACTTATTTACTCACACTTATTTCTATTTATTTATAATTTAAATCGATTATAAACACTTTCCAAACATATTTCATTATGGTGTAGTGATAAAAAGAAAACGGCTGAGTTACATGAAATGATTTACATAATGATTCACATACGTATGATGTGGTGAAATATAATTGGATCATAAATTTCTTCAACCAAACAAAAAAAGTTCCCACTATCTTTTTTTGTGGACATGTTTTATTCTCATTTCTACATACATGTATATTTAGCTTTTATTTGGTTCAACTACAAAAGTTTATTAATATTTAATTTTAATTACACATTTAAAAGGTCCACAACTTTTTAACTGTGCATTCTATAAATATTTATCAAAATATGTTGAAAACCTAATATTAATACAGATCTCCAGATACAAAAACACAGATCTAAGAGAATATGCCAAAGATCTCTATTAATCTAAACCAACAGGCATCAAGATTTCTTCAATCTTAGGCTCAATCAATTGACTTGTCTGTATCATCAAAGAGTAATCGAACAAACCCAAAACTCTCACCAGACCAGACGCAAGTAAAGTTACTTCAATTGCCAGAAGAACCCACACCACACCAATCTACCTACTCTCAAAGAAGTCACACAGACTCATTTTTT